ACCCGAGGGTGAAGTTCTGGAAATGTGTCAACCATTACAAGGCTGTCCTGGTCCCTCGTCTCTGGTCCCACGATACCAAAGGTTTCCAACAGAAGTTGGATCCTTAAGTCTCCGAAATCAGTAATGCTACTGCTACCTTCGGAAATGAGATTGGCCGCGGTGACTGGTGTATCCGTAGAGCCCATGCGCACCAAGGACTCAAGAATCAGCTATAGTTTGACTGAACCATCCTCGTTGGTGGTATATATGGTGATCTGGCAGGGCAGTTTGTCCGGCCGGGGTGGTGGACACATCCTTCGGCTACTTTTGGGGTGGCCGGAGATGCGGCAGGGGATGAAGCCCCAAGAAACTGGTCAATGGAAGAGCATCCAGGCTTGCGTCAGGCCTGCCTGAGATGTTGAAGGGGGATCGCGGGCTGAATTGCCTTGGCTCAGCAGGTGGCCCAGTCCACGGGCGGCCGACGGGTGTGGTTCTGGCCGCGGGGCCGGTGGTTGGAAGATGCCAGGTTCAGCGCCACGTAGACGGAGAACAATAGGAAGTGAGTGCAGGGACAATGGCAAGGGATTTCGGCGAAGTGGGGCATTTTCCGTGCCGCCCGGCGTGGTGGGCAACTTCATCCCCCAACCCCTATCCCTTGTTCCACACCATCAGCAGCGCAACTTTCCAATGACAACAATAACTTGCCGATGCATTCATCCGCGGGCCGTCAGATGTTGCCAGTTCGGGCTGTGGTGCGGCGTCTTTTCCGCGATCTCGTTTATTCATTGGATCTGTTGGTTGTAAGTCTGTGGGCATGCCAGCTTCCACGTTTCCTATCCGTGTCGAAGGACCCCCTGGTAAGAGCGGCCAAACAATGTGGAAGTGATTTTCAGGCCCTGCGTCTGCATCTGTATCAACTGCTCGTGTCACTCCATCGCGTTTCTGCATTAAGTCTTGGGGCAGCCTACCATGTACGACTGCGGACAGGGGAGTTGGAATATAAGCTAAGAACGCGGGTGGTATGGCTCAGCCATGGGGACAATCGTGGGAAGCCTTCTAAACCTTGCCTCAAAGCCAGATTGAAGTTAGCAACAATGCTAGAGACATCGCCAGGGCCAACCTGTGGGACCAAACCGAACGCCTGGGGACTTCCAGGTGGAGTAAAACTTCAAGAGGGGGTTGTGCGGTGTTGATGAATCCCTGAACAGGGAGATGCTGTAAGATGTTGCATGGTCAATGTCTCAAGACTGCTTGCCTTTTTAATTTTCCATTCCATTATTATGGGCGCCTACATTGTGTTTCTGGGCCGGTTGGGTGCTGATGCCTCAAAACCATGACCTAAACGTTCGGTCTTTCCTTCCTGCCCTTGTTCACTTTCCTATTTGACACATCCCCGTTACAGAAGCCGACCCTTCCTTCCGCATGGGCTGGCTTCTCAATCGTCTGGAGGTATATAATCATGTTGGAGCCACTTCCACAAGATTCCTATTCTAAAGCTCACCCAACGGCATCCTTTCCGTCCTTCTTGAATGCAACCTACTTGATCGTTCAGCTCGTAGCGATTGTCTACCTGCCATCAATGTACACAGATTGCCATCTAGCAGCACCCATCTGCCTTACTTCAAAATCATCTCAACCCCGACAACTACACCAGACTATGGATTCTGAAGCCCCAAGAATGCGAACCGAGCCCTTATCCATTGTGACTGGCCTTGGTTCTCCGCCAATCGTCAAAGAGGCCCGATCATGTCCTTCAGAACAGCCTCCAGCTTATACGCCGCCGATGAAGCCAAGCATCATCGATAGCCTTGCCGCCTCCCTCTCCCGACGTTCCGACTCATATGGAACCGCTCCACATAGAGTCGCGCCACGCCCTGAGGTGTCATTCTCGAGCCAATTTAGCGACGACGACCACGAGGAGTTGTCACCAATCTCGCTGCGTATTTCCACGCGCATCAACATAGCGTCTGACGGAAATCTCATCGCACTACCTTCTTCCCCATCCGAGCAAGCCAACTCCATCGCAAGGGCCGTCGTCGAAGCAATTCAGGGCCAGGACTGGGCGACCGGACTACCTCTGATTGATGAGAACGGACGGCCAAGACCTTTGAAGCTGGAAGTTGATGCGGGTATCACCATCAAAGGTTCCTCTAACGTCATTGGCACCGAATCAATAATCAACGATATCATTCGCCAAAGAACACCCATACAAAAGTGGACGCCACCTTCGCCCTCGCAAAGTACAGAATCATCTGCAACGACTTCACCTTCATCACCGAAAAGGAGACGCCGTGGGTCAGACTCGGCACCTTTGGAGCAGACCCGTAGCAAACGGGCAAGACACGACGTATAACCCTTCTGACAGCTTTCCCGCTTCCGAAAGAGATTTACCAACGACATGTCTTGAAGCTTCTCACTATCATTTTGTTCACTATAGCTTGAGAATTGGGCTTGGTGCGGTCGTCAGCAGTCTTCCTGACTGCAGGAGTTGGTGGGGGAAAACCCCAGGGCTTTTAGATCTCCTCTTCCAAATACACATATTTGCCTTTTCAGACTTGAATATATATACTTCTGCGATTATTTGCGTCCGTGTAGTTCTTCATTCTTCTGCTCATTTGGTGTATTTCACTTGCTTGATGCATTGTCGACCATTCCAGAGGCCTATGGATTAGACTTGCAACCAATGCAACCACAAGGACGACACGGTCAGAGACCAAAGGAAACGGGATGCGTTCCGCTGTCTCTAGTTGCCTCCTTCCCATCCTTGCCTTTTCTTTCCTCCCGCACGCGATGGTGGTCGGCTGGATCCACACCACCTGTTTGCTCTGTACACGGAGCCGTTCTTCCAACTGTCTGGCACCGCATGGGAATGCCTGTCTGAGAGGGGTATCGAACCAGCGCCTGATTCTTGTTCTGTGCCTTGCTTTGTCCAAAAGGACCGCGCTCAATTGGACGCTCCTTCGCATGTGCGTCGGTGCCGAGGTTCAGAGGCGCATCCGCGCGGAGATGGGAGCAAACAAATACTCACATCTGGCCACTCCCGGCGGGAATACTGCCTCTTGCGGAAAAGGATACAGGCGTCATTGGGTGCCGAATCGTCGGGTACAGCAACCTACTGCGCTGATCTGATACACATGCTGCGGCTGCCGGTTGACAGGAGCTAGGTTTGGTCGCCTCGGGATTTGAAGAGTTGGGCACCGGGCGAATCCCACACTGAAGATACAGATCGGGTTCTGATGCTTTTCGGGGATTGAAAAAGGACTTGACATGCTACTATTAACCCTGAAATGTGAAGTTGAGGCAAGTCGACTTCGCTGCGTTCATTGTTGATTTTAGGAGGTGTTTCTATTTAAATGGTGTCGTTTGTGATACATCTCCTTGTGATATTTGCTGAGAATGGTACTGCACTGTCTTGGTGTTCGTGGCTGACTCCTTCGCCCTTGTCATTTTATATGATCGTCTCTTGTGGCTGCGCGTCCCTAGATGCCGCTTCACGCATTTGTGGGAGGAAGATCTAGCAGCAGTAGAATATTGTCATTAAACCGTGTAGATACTTGGTATGAAACTGGCAAGAAGTCCTGGTCCATCATGTCATGCATGTTACAAGCTGTGAAATTATATATAGGTATGGCGAAGTGTGCGTGTGCAAACGCAACGATTCGCTGGGGCATTGGACGACACGACATCTGTACCGCCTAGTACAAGGCCAAAACTGGAGGCTAAAAATCCAGGGTTTTCTCCACGGATTCTCCGTGTAAGTCTAGATAATAAAGTCATTATGTTGGGTCGACCCTCCTCCGGTGACGGTTGAGCGGATAAAGCCCACGTCAACGGTAGTTCGCCGGATCCAAGAGCACGGGTCGTGGATGACAGGGATGACAAAACGATGTTAGTGAGTGTGATGTTGCAGACGAATGGACGAGACCCAGACATATAGGCAAATGCGCAATATTCCTCTTATGTAGAAGGAGACGTGCTTCATTGAACTTTGATGTCACTGGTGTGTCTCATTGGGCGGGTTGCAACACAGTACAGCCGATAAAATCCTCACCAAGTATGGAGCCTGCCAGGTTTGCAGGGTAAACCTGGATGAGGCGCACAGGGTGATTTGACCCGAGTCAAAGCTGAGATATTTCGCCCGACTTCTTGCGTCAACATCAATGACGAGATGTATCGTGGGGAGGTTGAAGTATGGTCGGTTGCTACAAACGGTTGTCCGAGGTCAACTTGAGCGCACGGTAGGCCATCAGGCCCGCTGTAATCTGTAGCCTATGCAAGACTAATGGGCGGGAGCTTGAATCGGCTAAATCATCCCTTCTTTTGACTTTGACGACTCAAGGCCGATATGAATCTTGACCTAAACATCTCTAGAACAACGCCTCAACACGCACTCCTGCCCTTCATCAAGTTCATCCCCTTCTTTGAGTTGCAAGTCGCCAGTCGGTCCGAACTGTCGGCCGTCAGCCTCAAACGGTCGTCGCGCGGTCCATCCCTGCTCCAGGTCCGCTCAAGCCAGGGCTGTCCCCCATCTCAAGCTCAGCTCCAGTTGACAACTCCCCACAGCCCAATGGGCGGCGCCAATTCCTCAGTGCGGCTTTGGTCTGGCACCGCTGTCGAATCACGCCTAGTTTCAGGGCCCGAATGGCCAGCTCTACACAAAACGAGCTGCGCTAGGCGGGGGCCGTATCGCGGTGCTGCAACCTCAGTTGCGCTAGGAAAGCCGCTGCCGGCTTGACTTCCTTGGACTCTGCCGTGCTGAGCCCAGCCAAGCTGAACTTGCGTCAAGACAAGTTGCATCCCACCTACCACCCTCGACCTCCCATACAAGTCACAACGCGCACCATACGCAGCGCGACCCTCTCGCTGGTCCCTTGGCCCTTTGCAGGTCAGCCCAGCAGAAGGGAGACCCAGTTTACATGCATGTAACGGCGCCCAAGAACGCCCTCGACGCCCTGAACCCCGTATCACACGCGTACTCGAAGCTGGCCGGGGGGCTCTAAACCCCGTGAAAATCCTCCATCATGGGGTTCTGCCTCTCACTTCCCTTCCCCTCCCCCTCCTCCAACGGAATCCCCTTCGACATGGCGCCTCTCACTATCCGCAACCTGACCTCTCTGCCCGTTACCCTCAAGCGTGTTGAGCGCTTCGAAGGTGAGAAGGTTCGCACCGGAGATGTTTTGGGCAACACCATTGGCACCATTGGCTCGTTCTTCAATGCGACAACCTTCACTACGAGAGAGACCGTCGTAAAGGGCGAGTCGCATACCACCGAGGATGTAGATGTCCATGTCGATCCCTTCACCATCAACGACACGGGAATCAACGCCCCAGAACCCGGCGGCAAGGAGGTCATCCGTCTGCAGTTCGAAATCGAAGGCCACCGTTATGAGATCGACGCCCCGAGCCCATCCAACCGCTCATCCGTCATGAAGAAGCTCGACGATGCGCCTCTCGAGCTCACGGCCGTCTATGTGTCCTCCGGCGCATTCCTCGCCATCATGTCCTCTGCCAACCTCAACGCCTGGATGCGTGAGCTCCAGGACCACTATCCCCTTCCACTCCTCTCCATTCCCGGCACGCACAACTCTCCCACATGTCACACGGCTCTCCCCTCGGTGCGATGCCAGGCTGTCAGCGTCCGCGAGCAACTCGACAACGGCGTGCGCTTCCTCGACATCCGCGTCTCAGCCAGCCAAGATAACGACGACCTGGCCCTCGTCCACTCCGTCTTCCCCATCTCTCTGACGGGCAACAAGTACTTCGCCGACATGCTCTCCGACATCTATGCCTACCTCGACGCCAACCCCTCTGAGACCGTCCTCATGTCTGTAAAGCGCGAAGGCACCGGCAAGGGCACCGACGAGCACCTGAGCCGCTACCTTCGCGACCGCTACGTCGGCCGTGACGCCCACCGCTGGTTCGTCGAGCCGCGCATCCCCCGCCTCGGCGATTGTCGCGGGCGCATCGTGCTGATCCGCCGCTTCGGCATCGACGAGTCCCTGCGTGGGGAACACGACGGCAGGGGCTGGGGCATCGATGCGCAGAACTGGCCCGACAACTGCGAGGACGGCACCGTGGGCGGCGGGCTCATCCGCGTCCAGGACTTTTACGAGATCGACCAGTCTACCAACATTGAGAAGAAGATTGACTTCTCGCGCGGCCAGCTGGAACGCGCCGCCGAGCAGTTCTTCCACCTCCCCGGCATGCCAGACTTCAACGCCGACGCCCCGTCGCTGCCCTTTTTCGTCAACTTCCTGAGCGCGAGCAACTTCTTCAATGCCACCTGCTGGCCAGAACGTATCGCGGCCAAGGTGAACCCGTCTGTCATCGAGTACCTGTGCATGTGTCACGGTGAGCAGGGCAAGGGGCCCAATCAGCTCAACATTGGCGACGCCGCAACTGGCATCATCGTCACAGATTGGGTTGGAGCGCATGGCGACTGGGATTTGATCAGATGTATTGTTGGGATGAACTCGCGGCTGCAGCTCAAGCATTAGGTACGCAGGAGCTGCATTTTACGAGGCATTGGCGCAAAGGGGCACGGTAGACATAAAGGCAGATGAATAGTCTCCACAGGATGTAGCGAGGCAGGCATTTGTGCATGGTTGAAACATGTTTATTCAAGTAAAACTATGGACGCGATCATAGAGATCTCGTAGAAGTCCTGGGTTGCCAAGTCAGCTTATTGTCTTGGTAACAAAATGCATAAAAAGTTGCAAATGATGTTTCTCAAATCAGTTCTCCAAGGTGATTGGTAAGTTTTTCGTCATGATGAACTCAGTACTAGAGCTAATGTTTGGTCATCATTGAGAGGGGGGGTGGCGTGCGAGACGTGAAAAAGATGTATGGACCTACCATTGGGGTAACATGTTGTAGCAAGTGACGAAAAAACTGCGTCCTACCTGCGTTGCGGATTAGCAACGGCCTAAGCAGATGTGAAGCAAACACCAAGTAGCTGAGCTGCGACGAGTTAGCAAATGGCACGTCGAATCGTTCATGCGGTGTGGAAATACCTCAATAGTATCAGAAAGTGTGAATTGTGTTCATGTCCAGCAAACACCGAAGTGAAGCCAGTCAAACAGTGTGAATACTTGACAACTCATCATAATATTGAGAGCGAAGCAACGCAAGCTGCGAACTAGGAACATGGGCAAGAAAAACCAAGCATGAATATTTACCTGCGTTGGTCCAGTCAGCACATCTGTCATGACCAGAAACGACGCAAGTCCGATGCCTCTCCAAAAAAAGCGACAAGCCGTTGACCACAATCAGGTGACGAATGATATCAACAAGAAGCCCCGACACCCAACACCACAGGTTTTGTACGACCTGTTTGTTTCTGGCGAGGGGCGCCGAGGTTCGTTTATGTCCGCCCGTTCGTTCAGATCTTCCTCATGCGTGGTGCGGTGCGGGAGAGGGACACGGACGAAGCGTCGAAACATTGAAGTAGTTTCTGTATTTACCTATCCAGGGTGAGTTAGCGACGAGTGCCATCTGGAAGATGCGAGTGAAACAGTGAGGTGTTTGGCTCTAGATCAGACAAGGCTGAAACTATTGCACCGGATTCAACATTATGTATTCTGCATGAGGAATCCCTATGGTGTACGAAGTGTTCATCACATGAGAGGGAGGGGTCGAGGACGACAGGAAAAGTTGAGAGCTGCGAGCATACCTTTTGAAGAAAATTCGAGAACGGCAACAGCTTCCAATTTGAAGCAATCTGGAGTCTGGAAAATTCTGCGACGCGTTAGCCTTCGGTCCACGCGACACTAGCGCAAGAATCGATGCTCTGCAAAATTTTGCTCAGTGTAATTCTAGAGATAATAAAACACCATGTGGTAGTCTGATTTGGATTGTTCGATGAAAGATCATCTTCGCAAACAGGAGGTGCTGCAAGGAGCTCGAAGAGGAAAAGAAGCTTACCCATTGATTCCAGCTGCCTGCCCTCGCGCGCTGGCGCGACGTTGCGGCGGGCAGGCAGAAGGCCAAAAAATTGTTGACCTGATGAGAAGAAGGAGAAGAAGGTGAAGACTGCAGCAGCTTGCTGGAAAATTTAAAGGCGCGAGGAAAAAAAAGAAGTGGGGGTCGGGTCGGCGACGATGCAGCTAACCCGGTTGGGTCTAGCACGGAACCCCTCAGGATCTGTGGCTGTGCGCCCGACTATCTCCGCGATCAACGAGGTGGCGAAGACTCCCGGGGGGCGCACCGCCACCCAATACTGCGCAGGTATAACTCCCCGCGAACACCCGCCGTCCCCGAGCTATTACTCCTTTTACAGCTACACAGACAAGCTTCGGTTCTCGATCCTGATACTGAACGTCCTTTCCCCCAAAAGGCCGTGTGAGCCCAGGACTCACAACCACCCGCAAAGATGTCTGGCGTCGCGGGGAAGATATGGGCTCCAACAGCCCTACGCTTCCTCCGACTCGGCGTCACGAACGTCACCAAAGCGACCAAGATGCTAAGAACCAAACTCGCCAACGCCGCCGCCCGTCCCGCCCAGGGCGAGCTCGCACACATTCCCATCCGCACCACGCCGACCGGCCGTCAACCCATCCATCCCGCCGCCCTCCTCAGACAGAAGCGTGCCGGACGCTGGTACTCGACAGCGACCCAGAACGTGAACAACACCGTCCGCCGATGGATCTCCACCGCCGGAGGCAGCGGTAACGCCGCACGCTTCAACCGAGCTTCGTTCCCGAGCTCAAACACCTCGCGCCGCGTGGGACAGATGACAGGACGTGCCCCCTTCGCGAGCACCCTCCGACCGAACCTCACCGGCGGCGCCATCCCGCGTACCCAGGGCGGTTACAGCACTGGCGGTGGAGCCCGCTACTTCTCCCATACCCCCGCCGCCCCGGCGCAGGTGATCCACAACGTCTCCGTCGCCATGCGGGCCTTTTGCCTTTCGGGCAAGAAGGCACGCTACGACGGCCTCAACGCCCGCGGCGAGATGTGCTACCGTGCCGTCTCGGAGCTCGAGCAGGCTGCCTACGTCAACATGATGGGTGCTGCCCGCAGCAACCCTGGCGCTTTTGTCGATTTCAAGCTCAACCCTACCATCACCGCTCTTAGCCCCCTTGCCGCTGCCGCTGCTGCGGGTTTCACCTCCGCCGGCGCCGCTGCCCCGGCTGCCTCTCTCGGCGAGGAGGGCTTCCTCGATGTCCTCTCCGTTGACTTCGCCCGTGCCGTCAAGGACCTGGCCATCATTTTCGCCGACTTGAAGCGAATTGCATTGTTGGGTGACTTGCCGGTGACAATGGAAAAGGGAAGTTTGTTACGAGTGCGATTCCCTGGCGTCGACGCGGATACCGTGGAACGACTCTGCGACGATTATGGCGTTCAGCGCGGTGTTGTCGGTCAGGATGCTGATTTCGACGTCGAGACCGGCGTGCCTATGGCTCTCCGCTTCCCCTTCGCCCCCGACTGCGAGGACGCCAAAACCCTCACATCTCCAGGTGGTTCTCTCCGCTCGCTTTCCGGTCTGGATGTGGACTTGGAAGAGGCATTCATTGAGATGGAGGAGGGCCCCTGGATGTCGGACCCTGAGGGCTATGGAAGCATGTCACCTACCCCAAAGACGAGTGAGCATGACGAGTATGATGGCTTGGAAGGCATCTATCGTTTCTTGGAGGAGTGTGACCGTGCTAAGGGCAGGTACTAGACGGCTGTCCGAGACTTTGCAAGGAATGCACAGACTGGTTTATGGTTTACGGTTTTGTGGAAGGATCTACACTCTTTATAACTTGAACATGACTATGGCCCCCAGAGCGGCTTAGTCCTCTGAATGACATTTTCTATCTGTCGACCGGTGGCACTCGTTGTGATTTGACGCCCAAACACCGCCAACCAATGCTCCGAGGCCTTCTTCGATGACAAATAACCATTCTTGTGATAGCGTCGCCGGGCGTGATGAGTCGCATAATCCTCTGTCATGATGTGCGAAGCAATGACAGCAGAAGAGCAGGGTTCGATGCAGGTGTGGCTATTTGTATGTTGATTCGTCTGCTTCTTAATCTATCGAGAAAGTAAAGCCCGGCCGTTGCCATCTCCTCAATCCTTTCTGCCACTTCCGTTGTCGAGCAAATTCATCTATCATACAAGGTATTAACGGGTCAAGCCTGCAGAGCCCATCGAGGTTTTCCTGCAAGGAAACCCGCACGATGCAAATCAGAACTTCATAATCTTCTTCCAAGCATCTCGCTCCTTCGCAATCATCTTCCTGTCCTCGGCAAGCTCTTCTGCAACTCTGGCGAGCGCTGGGCAGGTCCTGTAGCTGCGGCTAGCTGTGCCAACTTGCCATGAGAGCCGGGATGAAGAGACTGAACGAGATCACCAGATGCGTGGACAGATGAAACAGACGCACTGGGCTTTGCAGCAATAGTTGCAGGGCCCTTGGCCTTCTTGGGTTTACCCCTCTTCTTCTTCTCCCTTGTGGATGGAGGTGTAGGGGATTCCTGATCCGTCTGGTGGGGTGTCTCGACCTTGCCAATCTTCATCGTCACACTATTGCTTTTCTTTCGAGAGCCGACAGTGTCGAGAACCCAAGTCTGGCCACTCTCCACAGCCGAAGACGAAGACGGCTTGGCCGAGGGCTTCTCTGGGGGTGTGAAGATAGGCTCGGCCTTCTGGGTGCTGTATGTCTTCTGAAATCCCGAGAATGGGTTGTAACGGGGATGAAGATCGCTAAAGATAGCAGGAGCTGCAGGAGGGTCGATGCGAGTTGGACCCTTTGGTGTTTGCTTGCGCGGAGCCGCAGTGATCTGACCAGAGACGACTGCAGTATCCTCGATCCCCGGGGCGGGGGTACCACCATCGTTATCGACCGGATGAGATCTCTTCTTGTTCTTCCTCTTCCTCTTCTGCTTCTTGTCGTTGAAAGCAGCAATGTTGCTGCTGGTGGGAACCTCCACAATCTCAAAATCGTTCAGAGCACCATCTTCGTCACCCTTTTCAGCGGCGTTCGCAGTTTCGAGAACAGTAGTCGAAACCTTCTTCTCATCAAAGGTACCCTGTGGCGACGTGGGCTCAAGTTGCTCCCGTGTGTTCTTGGTTTCCTTGCTGATCTTATCGACGAGAAGAGACTTTGACTTCTTGACTTTCTTCTTGTCGGACGCTGCGTTGGTCAAGTCGTCTCCTGGCGATATATTGGAATCCCTCAGCGTACCAAATTCTTGGACGGAGAACGACTTTGATCGCTTGTGCTTCTTTGCCTTGCGGACAATGTCGGCAGAGTCCTGTGCCTGCGGCAGCTCGGCATCTTCGGCGGAGAAAGACTTGGACTTCTTGCGCTTCTTCTTCTGCTTCTTGTCTTCGTCATTCTGATCCTTGACGCCACTGTTGGTCTTGTCGTCGGCATCGGTAGACTTCGCGGCAGTCTCACCTTCCTAGGATGAGATGCTCACGGTCCTCGAAGCAACGGTTCTAGGAACCTTTTTGGTGGGGGTGCCTAGGTCACGCTCAACAGCGCTGTGGTTGTCGGCATCATCGACCATGTTGTCCGAGTCCGAGGTTGAGTCTGAGTCCCATTCCAAACCGGATTTCTCGTTGCTTTCTTCGGGAGACTTCCTCTTCGATGACTTCGCGGATGCGATACCCTCGTCCAGGTTTGCGAGCATATCCTTCATAAAGTCGATGTCCCTAGCCCGGGCGGAAGAGGGATCCGATCTGTAGAGCTGCTCTCTGTTGGCCAATACGCCCTTTTGCCGAAATCTGAATTTCTCGACTTTCTTTCTCATGCGGCGTGAAATGTCGGCCAGACTCTCTTGCTGCAACTGCTGCTCGTCGGGATAGAACGACTTCATATCCTCGACACCCTTCTCCAACTTCTTACGCGTAGTCGCATTCTTCTTGACCAGATGCCTAAGCTCTCTGCGGAGAATTTTACGCTCGTCTTTGGTGAATGGCTTCGAGAGCTGGTCAGATCCGGAGGGCGCCATCATTCGTGGTCCGCGTTGTCGCGATGACTGTGGTAAGGATGGGTGCTGCTGCGACGAGTAGTGCGAGAAATGGTGAATACTTCAATGGGAAGGAAAGAAAAGTGAAGAGTCAAGTAGGTCTTGGGAGACTTGAAGATGGATGGTTGGTGAGGGAAGTGAGAGGAAAGGAGGAGAATGGAGAAAAGAGAAGGCAGGCAGGCAGGCTGCTTGGAGAAAGACTGGTGCACCTACTTACCAAGGCAAGAGCCTACCTAGGGTGGGAACAATGAGGAAAGCGCGACCTCAAGGCTGATGTGAATGGTAGCTGAAAGTGGTCATTGCAGGAGGACAAAAACTTCCTTGATGCCAACCCCATTAGACGTCATTGTGATATTGGTGTCTTCTCACTTATGCACTATTCTTTCTTTTGTCTGCTGCCATCAGTGCATTCTCACTGCTCATGTACGTGATTGACAAAAGGTAGACTTCTCAAACATATGCCACGCTTCCTGTCAGACACATTCGTTGTGGTATACAAACGTTAGGGTAGGTATTGATAAAATTAAATACCGCAGCCGCCGAAGCCGCCATCCTCAGATTCCAGCCAAGGCCCACCATATGCTGAAAAGCTAGTGTATGTCAACCCCGGAGCAATAGCTCTTTGATCTTCGAACTGACCTGATTGTATGGTCACGAGATACTGAGTCGCAGAGTTGAAGATGGCCTATATGAAGGTGTCTGGACATAAATACCTAGCTTAGGTGTTTAGAGGGAGGACGTCGCTCTTAGACCGGGAAGGTAGACCGAGGGAGCTATGACGGGACGTCGGTGCTGGTAGGTACCGACCTCCGACCCTGAGCTTCAGAGGTCTAGTCCCTGACACTCTGGGCCAACCCCAACTTCCAAGGGCACCTTTCTCATATGCTGCTGATACTTACGATGTCTGTCCAGATTAGTGATACGAGATCTAGATGGGGTTTGCAAACTAAGCCTCTCCTGGAACAACAGAGCCACTGAGCCGTCCAAGATCCCGAAGTCAAGATCCGGGGTTACAAGCATGGCGCAACTCCACCCCCACATTTGGACCTCGGCATTGGCAACTCATCTAGCCAGGGACGTTTCATTGCCACTGGAGCGCTGCGGTTAGCTGACCAGAGCTGCGCCGAGGGAAGCTTACCCAGCGCCAGTTAAAACCGCCAGAAAGTCCCCCCAAGCTCGGCCGAAGCGCGACTCGACAAGAAAACTCCTTAGCCCTTGTTTACCAATTGATCTCCCATTTTGACCGCTTTCTCTGAGAAATATCTTCGACATTTCCATTCCATAATCAACATGAGCGGTCCCGGTGTCGGTTTCGAGTATCCTCGCCAGGAGGTTTCCTGGGTGAAGCGTGATGTCTTGCTCTTCGCGAACACCGTCGGCTGCACCGATCAGGAGCTGCACTTCCTCTATGCAAGTCCTCTTTTGCTCATTTGCTTGTCACAAACTGTTGGCCAACCTTTGATCTACAGGAACTTCACCCGAACTTCGCCGTCTTCCCGACCTATCCCATTATCCTCTGTAGGCCACCACGCGGCGCATACGAACCCTTCCGCGACTGACAACCCGCTAGCTTTCAAGGGCAATGCCCAGGATGTGATTGACTTCTACGCCGCCCAGAAGTCCGTTCAGATCCCTAATGTTCCCTCTTTCGACCCCCGGCGCGTTGTCGACGGCCAGCGCAAACTTGTGCTTCACAAGTCCCTCCCCACAAGCTCGGAGGGCAAGAAGTTCGAAGTCCGAACCAAGGTCCTCGGCGTTTACGACAAGGGCCGCCCCGGATCCGTCGTAGAGACCCAGACCGACCTCGTCGACGCTGAATCCAACGAGGTCTATGCCAGCGTCATTACTAGCAGTTTTTACGTCGCCCAGGGCAACTGGGGCGGTCCCAAGGGCCCCGCGACCGAGAACTTCCCCCCGCCCAAGGACAAGAAGCCCGACGTCACTTTCGAGCACCAAACGAACAAGCAGTCGGCCCTGCTGTACCGACTGAACGGCGACTACAACCCCCTCCACGCAACTCCCGAGCCCGGAAAGAAGATGGGCTTCCCCGGTGCCATCATGCACGGCCTGTACTCGTGGAACTCTACGGCCCACGGCCTGCTTGAGGCATTCGGCGGCAGCAACCCTGCCAACATCAAGGAGTACCAGGCGAGATTCGCCGCCCCCGTCATGCCCGGCGACAAGCTTGTGACGGATGCTTGGCGGACTGGGGAGGTCAAGGACGGCTTTGAGGAGATCCGCTTCCAGACCAAGGTTGAGGGAGGCAAGATTGTTCTGAGCAACGGACGCGCCTTGATCAAGGTTGTGGAGCCTCTCAAGTCGAAGCTGTAATTACTAGTTGTATGAGTGACAATGTGTGACATTTGAAGTTAAAATATCATTCTGGCGAAATTTAGCATATTTCTTCCTGTTAAATATGAATCGAACGACGATGTTTGGACTGCTCCTGATGCCGTCGACTGTGGTGTATGTAACCCACTAACAATTGTGGTGTTCAGCGACGACACCAGGTCACCTCCACTAAATTGAACATACTTCCTTAACGCTACAGCTGCAGAACCAGGACCTAGATAATGTGCCTCGACAGTAGTCACTACCTACGGCGACAAAAGCTCGCCGTATTCGACAAAATGGCACCTGAAAACCACATCGGTCAACGGCTGTCTTACGATGGTGCGCTTTGCACAGTTCGCTACGTCGGCGCCGTCACCGGCACGTCAGGCACCTGGCTCGGCGTAGAATGGGATGACACGGGACGAGGAAAGCATGACGGCCAGCATAAGGACGTCAGATATTTCACATGTACCCGCCCTGGACGCTTGTATCTGGAATCTCCGAGTCTCTAATCGTTGTGCCAGGCCTCTCAAAATCTCCCACCGCCGCTTCATTTGTGCGCCCGACCCGCCCCGCTGACGCGCCGCAGAGTTTCGTGGCAGCTCTGAACGGCAAATATGCCTCTGAGCAGGCGGCGGAGCGCGAGCCCGAGATCCAGATCGTCTTTTTCGGGAAGAAGCCGGCAGAAGAGGTCGGCTTCGACAAGATTCGTCGCCAGCTCGCGCGCGTTGAGGACCTCACTATCGTGATTCTCGATGGGACGCGGATTGCCATTGACGTGGCACCTGAGGATAAGAGCGTCAAAGAAACGAGTCCGCTGGTCACGGAGCTCGATTTGAGCAGAAATTTGTTCGAAGAGTTCCGACAAGTCGTCCGTATCTGTCGAGAGCTGGAAGATCTGAGGAGTCTGAGACTCAAGTGCGTTACCTACCCTTTCTTCATCTACGATGGCGGCTAATCTTTGCGCAGTGGCAATCGCTTCCGAGTCATCGAAGATGACGAGACCAAAGCCTTTGTGAAGGTCAACGACCTGGAGCTTGAGGAAACGTTGTTAGACTGGGGGTCTCTGTCTGGACTCGCCCGCAAGTTCCCCTCTTTGTCATCGTTGAGCTGCAGTCTCAACCAGCTCTCCACGCTCCCGACCGTACCGTTCGGTCACCTCAGCGACACCTTAACGACTTTGGATCTGGAGTTCAACGAGTTTACTTCTCTCGCAGACCTGTCTGCCCTGTCGTCTCTGACGTCTCTGCGTAATCTCCATCTCAAGGGCAACAACATATCTACGATTTCTCCTACGTCCGTTCCGGCCCCTGTCTTCCCTGAGAGCCTGCAGTATCTGGATGTATCTTACAACGCTGTAACAAGCTGGTCCTTTATTGACGCCCTACCGGCATCGTTTCCGGGTCTGAATGCTCTCCGCTTCGCCCACAACCCTATCTACGAACGCCCTGATCCCGAAACCCAAGGCGGAGGCAATCAGACAAAGTCTACCGATGAGGCCTACATGCTCACCATCGGCCGACTGGGCTGTCTCAAGGCCCTCAACTTCACCACGATCTCGACCTCAGACCGCTCCAACGCCGAAATGTTCTATCTTTCACGCATCGCAAAGCAGCTCGCCTCCGTCCCCGAGGCCGCTGAGCCCGAGGTCCTTGCACAGCACGCCCGATACGCTGAGCTTTGCACCATCTATGGCGCTCCTGACGTTATTCGCCGCGACGAAATCAACCCTTCCTATCTAGAGGCACGCCTGATCACGGTTCACTTTCATTATCCGCACACCACTGCAAACAAAACCAAAACTACCCACCTGCCAAAATCGTCCGACATCTACGCCGTCAAGGGTACTGCAGGCAGGTTGTTTGGTAAGGATCCACTCAGCCTGCGCTTGGTTTGGGAGACGGGCGAGTGGGACCCCGTGGCTGGGTTCGATGAAGACGAGGAGGCGGATGACAGCAGCGACGAAGAGGATGCTGCTGGCGCAATTGCGAGGAGCGGTGAGGAGGAAACAGGCACGGCGCAAGAGTGCAAGGGCGGAAGATGGGTCAAAAGGGAAGTTGAGCTCAAGGATGGGCCTAGACAATTAGGCTTCTGCGTAGACGGGTTGGATGTCAAGATCCGGGTGGAAGACAGGTAAAAACAACGGTCGAGAGTCAGGCTGGATACAAGTGGTGGAGCCCATAGATATGGGTGGCGGCGGGAAGCTGCACATGGCTTGCTTGATGCGTCTTGCTCTGCGTATTGTTTGTTTGGTGTCTCTAAGCAAACAACATGGAATAGACGCATGGTGCCGCGGCAACACCAAGATACCCGGCATCTACCACGGCTCTATCGACAAACGGAGAGATAGAAATAAGAGGTCGGCGTTTCCCATCGTCCCCTCCTCTTCAAAAGTCTTGAAAGGGCAATGTTTTAACCCGCGAGCGTGGCCCCCCTTTTCCTTGTTTCTCGGCTCGTCACGAAAACGCATCACGAACACATGGCGTCCGCCGCAGCACCTCCGTCCGAGGACAAGAGAGGCCTTTCTCAGTCTATGCATAACCCACACAATGAGACCAGTTCCTCGGAGAAAGCGCGCCCGTTCGTTTCGTGGCCGCAGCACTTCATCATTCGCAAGGGCGGCACCCGTAACTCTCTCGTGCCCGTCATCCCTATTGACCTCCTACCTGACTATGTCGAGATCATCGGCTTGCCAAAGGAGCTCACAGTCAGCGAAACTGTCGGCATGTCCAACCTCGGCGAGTTCCCCAAGCCACCGAGCGACCTCCAGTTGAACTTTGTATCGCCGGTTGCGCAAACTCGCGAGCCAATGCTAGAGTGCATTGAAGCTCCGGCCAAGGCGTAGGCTCCTACCATCTCGTAACTATTTCAAATTACTCACCATCCGTGTATATAGATCTAAGGTCACCACGAAACCCACGGCCGACACACGTGTCGGAGATCCCTCGAAACCATCCCGGGCCCAGGGTCCTCCGCCGGTGATGCCGCCGCCGCCCCGGCGCGTCCTGGACTGGGCCGAGGACACAGAATCCGTCTCCACGGACGACTTCTCTGGCGCAGAGAACTCTTCCGGCAGTAGCAGCAGCGATCACAAGCGACGAAGCGTCTCCAAGGGCAAATCTACCAGGTCCAAGGAGAAGTCGACAGCTGAGACTGCCCAACGCATGCTCGAAGTCGCTGCCGCTACTTCTGCCCATCGACTCGCTCCTCACCTCGCTCACCGTTCGACCTCGGCGCCGGCTGTTGCTCTGTCTGCCGAAGCGGTCGCAAAAAACAATAGCGGCAGCAACAACGGCAAGAAGAGCAATAAGGGCAACAAGTCGAAGCCCGCCCGGCCCGCCGGCAGTCTGTGCCGCCACTGGTGTCAGACAGGCCAGTGCAGCTTCGGTACGGATTGCCGGTACACGCACCAGATGCCCGTGACGCTCGAGGGGCTCAGTGATGTGGGCCTCACCGAGCTGCCGGGCTGGTGGCGCAAGTCGGCCGGGCTGCCTGTCGAGGGGACCATTGACGTTCGTATCTTCTCTGCTGCCGGGGCCGCTGCAGCTACTAGCATCAGCAACGGCGGGAAGAAGAGTCCCGGGCCGGCTTCGGGCAGCGGTTCGGCGACTGGCACTGTGAGCCAGTCAAAGAAGGTCAAGATGAAGAACGACAAGGAGGAGCGCAAGACGGCGGAAGAGATCCATTCTGTGAGACTTGGGGTTGAGAGGGCTCGAGCGAACGCGTCCCCCGTGCCCGTTTCCAGTAAGAGTGGCAAAAGGAAGATGGCGAACGGCAATGCTCTCCAAGCCAAGAAGGCTCAGCAGGTGCAGCACCAGCTTCCTGTTGAAAAGTTGGTCGACATCTGAGTCCACTCAGCCATTAACATGCGTGTCCTTCAGCCATGTAACATCATCGGTAGAATCAATAGAAGTCTGTTCGGTTCAGAGATGCAGTAGCTCTCCGTGGATTCAATACAACATCTTGTAGAGTGTTAATCGCCTCGGAATTTTCGTGACAAAGGATGTGTGAAAGCCGGCGAGGCGGGTTGTAGTGTACAATGTTGCTGGGCACTTGCGTAAGAAAAGCTCTGCGACGGCATACATTGTCAGCATCACTTGATGCTGCACTGGATGCTGCAAGTAGGCAACTTCGGAGAAATGCAACTCAGCGACTTCCGAGAGCGTCGTGCCTGGTGCACGAAATAAGAATCTGACGAGTTGGTTACGTCCGGCAGTGTATACTACACTCTAGGCTCTGGTATGCAGGGTGATCAACGCTGATAAGAAGCTTAAGTCCAGGTCTCGCCTTCAATTGGAGACAATCCCGAGCGATCGGAAATGGAGGATTTGCTTTGTAGCTAAAGCCGATGGGCGTTCACCCCAACGTCTCCAATGAACGACAGCACTGCTCAGGCGCCCCCACGGCCGGCGGAGCTACGGCGCTGGCGGCACGAATGTACCTCGCGCCATCGTCATGATTTGAGGCTGCTCTTCGGTATTTGTCCACAGCGGCCCAGTTTGCTCCCGTGAGAACCCAAGTTGGTGATATCACACTGAGACGTTCCATAGGCTTCTATATAACGTCTTCAAGCCCCCCGCCGATTCAATCCTCTCAATCAACAACAACCCGCACAACTCATCATTTACACTGCACCATAACCCCGCAGCCACGATAAGTCACTCAAAGTAACTTGAAACGAGCACTCGCATAGCACCACCACAATGGTTCAAATCAACGGACAAGAAATTGGCCCCATCGGCTACGGTCTCATGGGCCTCACCTGGCGCGCAAAGCCTGCTCCTGAGGAACAAGCCTTCGAGGCCATGCGTGCCGCCCTTCAGAATGGCAACAACTTCTGGAATGCGGGCGAATTCTATGGAAAGCCAGAGTACAATAGCATGACGCTCCTCGAGCGCTACTTTGCAAAGTACCCCGAAGACGCTGACAAGGTCGTCGTCAGCTGGAAGGGCGGGGTCAATGTTCAGAACCTGCACCCAGACGGCTCGCCGGAGGGCATCCGCCGCTCTTTGGATAACATCATCACCCAGCTCAAGGGCCGTAAGAAGATCGACATCTTCGAGTGCGCGCGCCGCGACGCCAACACGCCCCTCGAAGTCACGTTCGGCGTCATCCAGAAGGAGTACATTGATACCGGCAAGGTCGGCGGCCTCTGCCTCTCCGAGGTCTCTGCCGCGACGATCCAGGAGGCCGTCAAGCACGCCAAGATTGTCGGCGTCGAGGTCGAGCTCAGCCTTTTTTCGACCGACGTCCTCTCTAACGGCATTGCCGCTGCCTGCGCGGAGCACAACATCCCGCTCATCGCCTACTCACCCATCGGCCGTGGCCTGCTGACCGGCGAGATCAAGAAGTTCGAGGACCTTCCCGAGGGTGACTTCCGCCGCCACATGCCGCGCTTCCAGCCGGAAAACTTCAACATCAACCTCAAGCTCGTCAAGCAGGTCGAGGAGCTGGCGGCCAAGAAGGGTGTCACTCCCGCTCAGCTCGCCATCGGCTGGACCCTTGCCATCTCCAAGAAGCCCGGCATGCCCATGGTAATTCCCATCCCCGGCGCAACAACGGCGGATAGAGTCAACGAGAACGCGAAAGCAGCAGCAGTGGAGTTTACAGACGGGGAGCTGGCAGAGATTGACGCGACACTGGCCAAGTTTGAGGTTGCCGGTGGTCGTTACCCTGCCGGAGCTCCCATCAACACATGAGAGGCCTATATCATCTGTTTTGAATGCTTTGAAACATTAGCCCGGCTCTCTGTACGTCAAGTAAGATAATTGAACAGGGGCATAATAAGATTTGGCTCAGAGTTGCATGTGAGGCAAAGATTTTATCCACAGGACGGCCGGAAGGCCTTCAGCATTGCAGAATTCTTGTTCGCTCATCATAGTGCCAGTGAAGTAAGAGATGTCAGCAATAAACTTACCATGACTGTGGAATGCCTGCGTGACCTGCAGACAAGCTACGTTTGCAGCAAAATGTACGAAGATGTTGATGAGAAAATGGGCGAAAAAAGTCAGCTTCGGCTAAGCTCATTTATTCAAGTGATGACTAAGCAGACGATCCCGGTAATGCTTGCTTTCTTGGCGACTTGTGGAGTGGGTATGGTGGAAACCGACCACGTACTCATGTTAATGAACAAAAGCAGATGTTTAGCGGTTGACAGACTGAGAAGCTGAAGATTTCATCTAGTAAATTGGCATGCTGAATGCTGCTGCTCACGGTATCAGGGTATACAGGAAGACGCCTTTTACCAACAAATCGAATAGTTGTGACTCCCACTCTGAATGAGTACACGCAAAGTCCACAGTAGTTCTCTACACCATCGCTCCATTCAGGCCGTGTGCCTCAACTCTGTTGACCAGCTTCTTCACGTTTGTCCACTCTTCTGCCTTCAGATCGTCCCTGCCACCGAGACCAGAGGCCACCTCGAAGACGGTCAAAACTCCATCAATACCTCCCGTGGCCAGACGCTTGCCCTCGGACGGCTCCCAGGCAAGCTTATTCAAGCTCTTCGCAAGCATGGTCCTACCATCCTTGCGAGAGCTTGGCGAAATTCTCGCGACAGGCTCCTCGGTCTCCACGGTGATGTCCCACAGCTCCAGCCATCCTGCTCCATCAACCAACGCGAAAACGCTAGGCTTGATCGGAGACCATTGCGCGTCGTAGACGACGTCTTCCCGCACGAAGTCGATGAGGGGCGAGACCGATGGCTCACCTCCCGCTGTCGATGTTGCAGCCGGCGCGCGAACCTTCCACAAACGAACGCTCCAGTCCAGGGAGGAAGAGAGTACCAGATCACCCAGGTCCACGGGACCTCGGGCGGGATGGAAGTCGACGGACATGACCGGCGCGGTATGGCCCTTGTAGCTGACTCTAGCATCTACACCAGCCTTCGCACCGGCGCGGTCGTATCTGTGGCAAGGAAAGATTGTGCCTTCCTCACTGCCGACAAGGAAGAAGGTAGGATCGGTCTGCGGGAACGCCAAACATGTAGGGCTCACATCGTCCAACTTGTATCCAGGGGGCGCTTTGAGCTCCAGCAACTCCTGTGGTTGGGCGAACACGTCCATACTCCAACCGCAAACCACACCGTCCGTAGAAGTCGAGATGATGTTGTTTGCGTTTTGCGTACCAACGATGTCTACGGAGTAAATGGGATGCGTATGGCCGTATCCTGTGAGAGGCGTTTTCTGAACGGGCGCTGATTTCGCTCTCATATCCCATAGGAGGACTTGGCCGCTGTATGTGCCACCAACAATGAGATTCTGGTGATACGGCGAAAACTTGGCGGTGAGAACATCGGACTGAGCGTGGAAGACATATTCCGGTCTGTCTCGCAGAGCCAGACTCCATACCTGGACCAGGCCGTCCGGCTCATGCGGGGCAGTAGGGTTCTTTGTGTATGACGCCAGCATCAGCTCGGAATGGTGGTGTGAGAAGTCGATGCTGCTGATCATTCGCTTTTTAGACCACCTCTCATCGTAGAACTGAGCCACCTCTTTGACTCTCCGCCGGCCCTTGCCTCCGACATTACCGCTCTCGTCATCTTCGTCGTCCACGTCATGGCCTTGGAGTGCGTAGTCCGTGAGAACATCGTACTCTTGGTCCAATGCTCTCTCAATGACCTTGGTTGACTTTTCAAGGAAGTCTGCAAAGTCGGGAGCACCGGTGACAGCCTCCAGCTCTTCGCCAGTAAGTTTGCGCATAGGATAGTTGACCTTGGCGGGCGCATCGTGAGGAAGGACCCCATCTTTGAGCAGATCCAGTGACGCCTTCAGCTCTTCTTCGACCTCCCTTCTGATATCCTGTCTCAGTTCCTCTTCCCTATCGCGTTGTCGGCGACTCAGCCGCTTGTTGGGTGTCGACGTGACGGGTGGCTCCTCATCATCGGAAAACGATTGACCTCTGTCTCGTGTAGGCGGGGTCCAATCCTCGGCCGTCTGCACTCCTTTGCTGTAAGAATGTACCTCCTTCACGGGAGAGGGCGGGCATTCGTATATCGTGGTTAGAGGCGCGGTAGTGAGGCTCAATTGAACAGGTGGTGCAGCTGGAACCGAGGATGGAGGTGGTACGCCACTGGTAGTTGTCGTGAACTCCGAAGCCGCATCGATGCTCAGCTCGCCAGCGCTCAGGACACTGTTCGGCCGACTGCCCCTACGAGCCGGCGACGCAGCCCCTCCTGTCGTGGATCCAGGCCTACTTTCTCCGACCAAGCTGTTGATCAAAGTTTCGATATCGCGGCGGTTCTCGGCTCGTCCTGGGATAGGCGACACTAGCTGCGTACACATTAGCAAGCTGCGCGGGCAGGAGTTCAGCTTCAACCAACATCGCCTGGACTCCCTGAGCTTCCCCGGCTTGCTGTGGCCTGAGTTGCGCGGAGTTCTCTCTGCCGCTTCAGCTCCGCGAGCTTCGCCTTCTTCGCCAAGATTTCATCTCGTCTCTGTTGCATCTTATTGTCTCCTTATTCCCATGGCGGGACTCGCTTGCTAAGTGTGACGAGGAATCGCGGGTGAAGGGTCCGACTGTTGCGAAAGTGGATGAACTTCGCAGATGGGTTGAGAAGGTCAACAGGCTGCGTGGACGAGAGGGCTTGACTCCTGTTGAAGATCTGCGGGTGACGAATGTTTGTATTGGAGGCGGTAGCGTCGTTTGGTTTGATGGGGATTCCTTTCAATGCGCGTTGTCCTTCCTGTCGCGATTCCAGCAGGAACCCCGGGCCCTGTTCAAGAGGTACCTTGTCTGCTAATTAACTGGTGAGAGGTACTTTAGCTGCCCCTGCATTAAAGTTGCACTGGTCCCTAAAGACAGCGGCCTGGGGATATTTCCACAGCGCTGGAGCTAACCTTCGAAGCAA